TCGTCCCTTTCTTTTTTATTCTTGTGTTTTTGTTGTTTCAGGGTTCTGTCCCTAAACTAGCACGATTCTGCTTCCGCGTCCCTATCAAGTAGAGTTCAAGATAGAAAAAATTAAATTATTTTTGAAATGTCATTATCACATTAACAAGATTTTTTTGGGGGTAAAAAGGCACATATATTAACAAATAAAAAGAAAATGTAGCTACAAGGATAATGTTAAAACAGAATTAACAAGGAGAAATACTTATATAGATTGAGTGCACCATATCATTTATGATTTGTCCAATTAAAATGTTACATTTAGATATCATTAAATATAAATTAATTTTAATATTAATGATAGTAGAAAAAAATATAAGAAATCAAGTGTGCATTCTGTTATAATAATAAAATTAATTTAAAAAATATCACACAAGATTTTATTTAAATTACTTAAGGTATTTTAATTAGATAAATCACAAATTACGTGGTGCACCTGATTGACCTAAATATTTCTCATTACAAAGATATCTAGGTAAAGTAAAAGTAGAAAAAAATAAAAATATCAGTACCACACTTTTAAGTTCTATAGCTATTAAAGTCTTGTAAAAGCTTAAGGACATCTTGATTAAAGAGGTAGTTTCATCTGAAGCAAAAGTATATTTCCTTGTCAAGGCTTTCAAATTTTGCTAATCTTGAAAGAATCTGAGAGAAATCTTAAATCCAAAATGAGATAGCCTAAAGTAAAAAGTTATAAAAAGTTGAGAAGATATAAACTCAATGCAGAAAAGTTATGAGATTGTGATTTTTACATAGGCATAAAGTTAAAATTCAGGAAATAGGAGTAGTCATAAAGTTAAATTTCCCTTTTTAGAAAAAGACAAATTTCATTAGATAAGAATTAGGAAATGAGTGTGATCACACCATTAAAAATCATACTATCTTTAACAAGCTAAATTTTCCCTTTTTTTCATAAAAGTATCAAACCATTGAAAAGATCTTTTATCCTTATTTTGATATATTTTTTAAATCTTTTAATTTTAATATTAAATTAATTCAATCTTTTTATCCTCAAATGTCATTCTCCTTTATATCAAAGCACAATTAAAAGACACCAAAATGATCCCCTGAGACAAAAGATATAGAACGACAACTTGGGCCTCGTATATGAGGCAACAAACCCACAAGGATAATAAAAACAAGTGAAAATACATATGCTGCCTCTCATAGGTTAAGCTTGTTAATTCTTCCGTCTTAACTCCGTTTGAATCTACTAACATATTAAATCATGATATGGTGGAAGATGAGCTGAACTAAGATTTTTGCCAAATGAGACTTTAAACTTGAAGATGTTTGTGGCTTCATGCTTAAAGTTGATGGCCTTTGGTTCTATTCTATTAAAGGATATGATCGCACCATACTTGGTTCTTTTTCATTGAAGCTCGTCGATCTTCTTCATTGTGTCAGATGTTCTTTGTAATGACCTCCATCATTATCTATACATAACCATAGCATTTAAACCAATTAATTAAATTAAGAAAGAAATCAAAGGAAGATATGATCAACCTTAACCATTTGAAACTTCAAAGTTCATTTATAAATAATATTTGAGTAAATGAGGTCCCAAGATAATACAAGTTTAAAAACCATAAGTTAAGGTCTTTGAAACATAAAAAATTAGAGAACATGAGGATTATGGAAGATTGGAAAAGTAGCTAAGTATTAATTGATGAAAAAGGAGCAAAACAATCATTTTAGCATTTCTGGGCAAATTTGCCTTAGCTTGTGGCACAGAAGCCACTCACTGCGGCCAACGACACTTTCCGTCATAGCCAATGCATGACACATTTGCCACAACCAACAAAGAATTCCACTATAATGTACATGACGGTACAGCACATAAAAGACTAGAACTAAAATCTAACTTCCACGACATCTAATTTTCATTTCAAACCTTCGATTAAGGCGATCTAGACATTCACATGTAGATAATTAAATACTTTAACTAATGGCTTTGTTTTCACCTCAATTCAATACTAAATGAGGATTCTAGAACACTTAAGGCTATAACATACTTGTCACACTTATAACTCATCAACCAAGTGTTTCCCCTCCATAACTAGCTACTAGTCACCACAACCATGTTCAACATAAATCACAATAAACCTTGCATGTTTAACTCCTCAACATACCAATTCATTTAACAATCATAATTTAATCACACACTTGCACATTTGGCCTCAACTTCAAAACACATAAAAGACCATCAACAAAAAATGGGACTACATGCAAGTGATAAGTATAGTCTAACAATACAATCCCTAATGTTAACAATAATAAATATTTAAATACACGAACTAAATAATTATAGATTTCACTTATGAAGTCACACAAGTGTCTAGTCTTTAATGCTTCCCCTTTAGCCTTGCCTTCAACGTACATTGCCGAGAAAAATATTAATAAATGAGAGTGAGATTATATAATCTTGGTAATCAAGGCACATAAATTCAAGTACATAAAAGTAAGGCAAATATAAATATGTAAGGAAAATATTCATGTTTAACATTCCATTGACACTCAAAATATACCATAAGTTATTAATCATTAATCACTTGGTATATAACTTAATAATGACAATTATACATAATCATATGCAATCCATTCTTATTCCTATCTTTATATCTTTTAATTGAATCTATGAGTTATCAAATCATATAAGATTAGTCTGTGTGACCGGATTAAGCCTATTCTCTAATTGTGAGGGATTACCTAGCCAAAGTACCCACTCCCTACTATCAAACCATAGATCCTCTCTTCTCGAATTTTAAGGGTATCATAATTGCCCAACCCCCACCGTCCCCCATAGAAAATTGGCTATCCAAGGCGGCATGCTCGCATATGCCATTCCCAAATGACAATGGACATAAAAGCACTTTAATCAAATATGTCAATCATCGTTTGCAAATTTTGGTGGAGGTTATACCATGTGAAATTTCCATATCACCCTTACTCATTAGGTGAACTTCCGCCATCCATCATTATGTAACATACTCATGTTAGGCAATGAAATGTCATAAAAGTAAACTTGATTAACTTATCTCATAATTAAGCACATGCTATTAAGCCAAGAAAACATAATTAATACTCAATCTCATATGTTCATGCTTATTATAATACCAAACATCCATTTAAACATATACTACAACTCAATCATGCAACTCACCTAATTATAGCCACATAATTCTCAATTATTAATACTAATGTGCTTACATATTCATATAATCAAGCTCATCAAAATCAATAATATACAACTCATAATTGTAAATAATAATTAAGAATTTAACCCCCTGTTATCTCCACCCTTAGGTTACAATTGTAAGAGTATATTTTAGATTTTAGGGGAGTTTTCTAGCAAACACAACAAGCTTCAAAGTAGTCAATCTATACTAATAATTGACATACAACATTAGTGACTAATCATTATTAATTAAGTCTAATCATAATTAAGGCCTTAAACCTCTCATTAAGCATAATTAAGTAAAATCAACCCTAAAAGTCACTTTCATTAACTTATTTAACCTTTATTAAATATAATAAACACTGTTGGCTAAGTTTATTGGCTTAAGTTTAGTTAATTAACATTAGAATTAACTCTAAACCCATTATTAAAGACACTATCCGCTGCCATTAGCAATAATCAAAGATTATAACCTTAGTTAACTCTCATTAGACTCTATTAAAGTCATTAGAGTGGGTAGAACTTAGCCATAAGTTCAACAGCTCCATAAGGTAGAAGAAAACAAACATGAGAGGTAAAAGAAAGGAAGAGGAAGCTTAACTGGTGATTTAGTAGCCCAAAACTACCACCAACCAACACCCCAAGCTTGTCCCAGCAGTGCTCTAGCCTCCTCTTTTCCTCTCGCGTACTTTCACTCTTTTCCTCTCTTATGTTCTATCTGAGGTCACGCCTGTAGAGTTTAAAATTTGACTTGTCCGCCACAATGTATGGTGTTGTCCATTGTAGTGAATAACACAATTTAAAAACCCTAATTTAAGCCTATTAAATCAGGCCTTAGATGTCCCAATAACATTTAGGGTTTGAAATTAACTCCCATGTGGGATCCAATGAATTCAATGATTATCCAATTACTCTAACTAAATTTTACCAAAAAAATTACTCTAATTAGAACTTAAATTAATTATATCATTTTAATCAATTTAATTAAGCCTATTTTAAATTTTGAGATGTTACATTCTTTGCTGCATTCAGTTCTGTTTCATTGATTGCCTTCAATGTTTACGTCATCGTTATTTTCTGTCCTTTGTTGGGTGTTCTTAACTGAGTTAGTTCTGTCTTGTTGATTGCCTTCAGTGTTCTTCTTCATCGCTCTTCATCGTCATTCTTTGCTGGTTTGATCGTTTACGTTATATTTTTCTTTGTTGGTTTAATCTTGTCTTGTTCTGTTCTGGCCCTTTTTCTTTTCGGGATTTCAAGTCAGCAATGGGTTTAATACGTGAAAATGGGCGTGTTTCTACTTTGTTGAAGGCGTCTCGGAAAATGTATATTATAGCATACAACATTGAAAATAAAAAACGCCCAAGTAAAAAAGCAAGTTATGCCTAGTAAAATGACAAGGGAGAAATGCAAGAAGATTCTAGATAAAAGAAATAATTATTTTTCACTTCATTAACAAATTAACTTTTATATTTATATGTCAAACTTCAGCATTTATAAGTGGAGGAGACTTATGAGTACTTAGTTTTTTTTATGTAGAATTTATATATAATTCTATTAAAAAATAAGTTATACAATTTAATTTCTTAAAACAATTGATTTTTTTTTAAAAGTATCATCCTCGCGAAATGTCAATCCTTGATTGAATTTTTTTATCATCCAATTTTTTGTTTGCTTCCAAATATTTAAAATATTAAAAAAAACCCCACCATTTCTAATTCTTTATGAATTTGGTCAAAGTCAAACGTTTTTAGATGGAATAAAATTTGGAATGCTGCAAGACTGCAACTTGCCCAACTTCTTCTGGTCTCTCCCAAGTCATCATCAAAACTGGGTAAATACTAAATACCCAGAGACGACTTTTCTTTTGCATCCATCTTCTACTTCTTCAACCATAAGGCAGTGGAAAACCATGAGGCGTTAATGGAGGACAGACTAGTAAACACAGTCTCTGTAATATCAGTGATTGCTCTGATCACATTCGTCGTCATCGCTCGCTGCTTCTTAAAGCGTTCAAGAGTCTTCTTTCTCATCTTGGGGGCCGATGTTACGTTGATCATCGCAGTCTTCGCCTGCGTTCTAATCCGATTGCGATACAACCGCAGAAGAAGACTGATAGAATCCCGATATAAATCTGAAGGTAGAGAGCTCCGAATAGAGTACAGCTTCCTGCGAAAAGTCGCCGGCGTTCCGACCAAGTTCCGATTCCAAGAGCTCGAAGACGCCACCAACAGATTCCAGTCGCTACTCGGCCAAGGAGCCTCAGCTTCAGTCTTCAAAGGTATTTTAAACGACGGCACCACGGTAGCCGTCAAGCGAATCAACGGCGAAGAACGAGGCGAGAAGGAGTTCAAATCGGAAGTCGCCGCCATAGCCAGCGTCCAGCATGTCAACCTCGTGCGCCTGATTGGGTACTTTAATTCCACCACAGCCCCTCGGTACTTGGTTTACGAGTTCATCCCAAACGGATCTCTGGATTCCTGGATATTCCCCTTTAAAACCGAGAATCGAAGATCTCGCCGGGGGTTTTTATCGTGGAGCTTGAGATACAGAGTAGCGATCGATGTAGCCAAAGCTCTCTCTTACCTCCACGATGATTGCAGATCGACAATCCTACACCTGGATGTAAAACCAGAGAACATTCTGCTGGACGAGAATTTCAAAGCAGTGGTCTCAGACTTCGGTCTGTCGAAGCTAATGGGGAAAGATGAGAGCGAAGTGATGACAACAGTGAGAGGAACAAGAGGGTATTTAGCTCCAGAATGGCTGTTAGAACACGGAGTTTCAGAGAAAACAGACATATACAGTTACGGCATGGTACTGCTGGAGATAATAGGGGGAAGAAGAAACGTGTGCGTAATCCAAGATCCAAGGGACAGGGCAAAGAAGAAGTGGGATTACTTTCCAAAGACTGTGAACGAGAAAGTGAGAGAAGGAAAACCCATGGAGATAGTGGATCAGACGTTGATTGACAGTGGGGGCGTGGAAGAGAGAGAAGTGAAGAGGATGGTGTACGTGGCACTGTGGTGCATACAAGAGAGGCCGAGGGTGAGACCAAGCATGAAGCAAGTGGTGGAGATGCTTGAAGCGAGAGCGAAGGTGGAGGAGCCACCTGATACGAGGATGGTTACGGCCAATTTCCTTTCAGTAGGAGAAGAAGGAGAAGCAGAAAGCTGCTCGAATGGCACCACATTGGCTGATTATGTGGCGAGCCAGAGGGCAATAGGAAATTCGGGTTACTATGGATCCACCTACTCCATGGCCACCACAGTTCTATCTGGCAGATAGTTATGCTTTCTCAATTTATCAGTCATTCAGAAAATTTCAGGATCAATCTGCTTCGCTTTTGATTCTGATTGCTTTGTTATTTGAAATGTATACACCATCTGATCATAGGTACATTATACTCTACACAGTTCATCATCAATTTTTTTATATGATTGATGGGTCAGATTCGAACATTATTAGATTGAATTGACAATAGTTCTGTTTTTTTTTTTAAAACATGGATTCAAAGTCAAGACATTGTGTTTAAGAAGATATAACTCCTTCGTTAGGACCAACGCTTTTTGGTTCATCGTCTTTTTCATCACTCCTGATTTTTCAAACTGATCTCTTTGTCCTTTTTTTTCTTTTTACATTCAAGTTTTACAAAAAATATTTAATATGAAGTTGGCATATGGTTGTGACAACAGCACATTTATTATATTGATATTTTTTGCCTAGTTGGTTCGGTTGAATCAGTCCTATGAATTTCTTGAAATGATCTTTTGTTTTTTGAACTGATCCGGTTGGTTTTTAAATGTTCCACTAACGGGTTAATTGAGATAAAGAACTTTTAGATTAATTAATTAATGGGAAATTGACTAATGAATAGACTAATGTCCATTCGATTTTTATTTATTTTTAATAAATTTTTGGATGTTGAATTTAAAATCTTATTTTCGATGGTTTTTTTTTTTCAAGTGTGGTTACTGATTAATAGTTACGATTATCTGCTATTTGTGGTTGTGGGTGGGGAATTCTCCTCCCCCTTGTTCAAACAAAAAAAAGGCTTTTTCACTATTACCAATGTTTTAAAAACTATACTAGATAATAAATCAAAGAATCACAAATTTTATAATTTAACTGGTTAAATTGACAGTTAAACCAATAATATAATAATTAAATAAAAAATAATATATACATATACATATATATATATATATATATATTAAAAAACAAGTCAATCGTTGTAAGTCTTGAGTTTTTACTTTGAATTTTTAAGAATTGTTTGGGTTAAAGTCTTAATAAATTTATTAAGACTTTTGGATGTTGAATTTAAAATTTTATTTTCAATGGTTTTTTTTTTTAAGTGTGGTTACTGATTAATAGTTAGGATTATCAGCTATTTGTGGTTGTGAGTGGGGGATTCTCCTCCCCCTGTTCATGAACAAACAAAAGAAGGCTTTTTCGTTATTACCAAAGTTTTAAAAACCATACTAGATAATAAATCAAAGAATCACAAATTTTATAATTTAATTGGTTAAACTAAAAATTAAATTAATAATATAATAATTAAATAAAAAATAATATTTATATACACATATATATGTATTAAAAAACAAGTTAATCGTTGTAAGTCTTGGGTTTTTACTTTGAATTTTTAAAAATTACTTGAATTAAAGTGGGTCAACCTAAGATAACTGTTAAAATGAGTTAAATGATTGAATCAAATTGTTTTCTTTCTTCCAGTGACAGTTTGACTGTCTGGTCAGAATTACCAAGAAATTTCTTTGTTCTTGGCCTTCAATTTTCCTTTTTCCCCCCTCAAAACTATTTGTGTGTGTGGATATTTTGTTGTTATCTGCCGCTGAAGGCGTAGGTGAAGATTAATATGTAATCGTAGCCAATAAGAAGGTATTAATATGTAATCCCGACAAGATTACCTGGATTTAAGATTTCATCATTACAGTATTATTATTTACTATTTACCGCTATAAAAAATATTTGGCTGGTTATTCTATTCTCAAATTCTAACATATCGATGTAAAATATAAATAGCTTTTTAATTAAAATAAAATAAATTATTTTATTGATAATGGAAATAAATACCGGAACGAAGAAAGCTAGAAAGAATATTTTGAAATATTAAATTAAAGCTATTACATTTTATTAAACTAATTGCCTTTTCATCTAAGAAATCTGAATTTTGTGTTGCACCTGGCTCTGTCCTTCGAGCAAACCATGGTCTAAACACTGTTTTTTTTTATTTTATTTGATTTACCCCTAATTCTTTATATTACACCAAAAGAAGAACAGACATGCAGCAAATATTCCAACCAGCACAATAACATAATTCAATTCAAAAAATTGAGAAATTTACAAATCACATTATAAAAGATACTAGTGGGAGACGTGTTGAAGGCCCAAAGCCTCGAGATTGCGGTAGATCATTCTCGGAAGAAAACACATGTGGCCTGTGGGTGTAAACAGGGATGAGTTTGGATCACGGCTATCCTAAATTTTTTATTTTTTAATAAAATATAAGAGTTATATATTTTTTGCCTTTAAATTGGCACATTATAAAAATATTAAGATATTAGATAAAATTTTTATTTTAATTCTGTAATAATTTTTTAGACATGTATAGTTCAATTATTTTAATAGCTTGAAAATATAATTGTCAAATTATTTATTTATTTTTAATAAGATAACGCTATAGTTGTTCTTAAAATATTGATATCATTTAATTTTGTTTTCATTTTACATTTGATAAAAGAAATTATAACAATTATTACTAACAAATTTTGTCAAGCACAACAAGAAAAATTTCAAAATATATTAGGTGCTATGTGCTTGATATCTATCATAAAATCATTTATCTAAAAGTTAAGAGATTATACTTAAGATATATTCTTTTAAAAAAATTACTTTTTTCTATAATAACCAAGTTGTTAATATAAATGATTTTTATTATGATATACTTAGATCTCATTGATATTAAGGTGTAATTTTGCTCCTAAATTATTCTCAAATGAGCAATGTTATCTCTAAACTATCCATCATAGCAATGTTGCCCCTACTATTTAAAAATCATAAGCAATCGTTAACTAGAGAAAGATAATAAAAAGTGAATCCTATTAAGTACAGTTTTTTAAATGACAGGGGCAACATAACTTCAATTTAATTAATTTAGGAGTAATATTGATATGATGAGTACTTTTAAGGTAATATTGCTCTTTTGAGAATAGTTAAGGGCAAAATTGCACCGTAATCTTGAATAATTTGTGACAATTGAACATCATTACCGAGTTGATATACTTATTTATTACAATTATCAATTAAAAAAATTATATAGTAAATCCAATAAATAAATAATAATATTTTTTATATTGAATAGAACTTTAAATTCTAATGATGCACTTAAATTATTCAATGCTTATGGAAAAAATAAAATCTTCACTAATTTAATGATAGTTTATATGGAAAAAGCAATTGATAATAAATTTATTGTAGACATAATAATTAACTATTCTTATGGCATGAAAAATTGTTGAAATATTTATATTATATTAATAATATATATATATATATATATTTAATTTTTTTCAATTATTATATATGTTTTGTGTTTTCAACCCTTTCTAATAAATTTTTCTAGCTTCACACTAATAATATATGATGAAAATTATATTTGATTTGCTTTACGGTTTATTAAGATTTGATTTAGTATTCAGGAATTGTTATTATTTCTTTAGTATTTTAAATTTATTTTATTTTTAAGTATTATGTTAAATAAAATAAAATATCTAGACGAGCTAGATATTTTATCTTCATCTTTTAAATTATGATTAAATTTAAATTTTAATTTATTATTATTTTTATTATTTTTAGAGCTCTATAAATAGCCATAAAATTTTTCAATTGCATAATTTTGACATTTAAATAAGAGTGATATAGTTTTTTCTCATCCTCCTCCTTTCTCTCTCCTCTTTCCTTTTTACATCAGCATGTGTTTAAAATAAATAAAAAAACATGGAAGCCATGTAAAAGGCATAAAATATTTTTTTTATTTTTTTTTAAGAAAGATCATAGGAATCAATCCCAAGTACTTTAGTGAATCTGCTCCCGGGTATGGTTGAGATATATAAACGAATGGCCACATGCAGTTAATATTGTTGTATTACTCGACTGATCATAACACACGTGTATTTAGCATTGGATTTTTCTTTGCTCATATAATTATTTTTCGAAACCCAACTCTATTCAATTGATTCTCCATGACGTGGTTTCTGATGTTTATCGACATGAAAAGGCAATTCAGTTTTGGGGATGCATTGCAAGCGTTGACAGCTTATCTGGTGTTGTTCTCTTTCATTTGTCTCCTTCTACATTCATTTAATTTCCAGGGGCAATCAATTGGGTTCTGATTTCCCTCCTTAATTGGCTCCCACCACATCTGGATTAGTGATTGTCAAGGGATTCAATTGCGCTTCCGGTGGAAGTGGCATTTTAAATCAAACTGGACAAATTTCCGTAAGTGAATTTATCCTCACACCACACACATACGTGTTAATTTTAAGTGAATTCAGAACCACTGTAAGAATATTTTCTTGTGGTTGATAAGGTGGGTTAATCAACTTGTATGCTCAGATAGATAACTTCGAGAACACGAGGCAAGAAATTATGTTATGTCCATGATCGGTGTTTCTGCAGCTCAGGATGTACTCGAAAGTGCTATCTTTTTAATAGCCATGGGCTCATATGATTTCCTTTCCAACTATATAGCACCTTTAGTATCAACTGCTGTGAGAAACTCGGTATCCCCACAAGTGTCTGTCGTTTCCATGACATCAAAATGCAGACTCTGCAGCTCACTGTAACTTAGCTCAAAACCTGGAATACATTTTCCGCAAAATTCCATTTCTTTTTTGCCGTTGTATGTCTAATATATATTACACGGTATGCCTGCCAAGCAAATATGATAAGTACGTTACGAATGTTTAATACAAGTGTATATCGTCAGTGTCGTTACACTTGCACACACGTGCATGTATCATGTGTTTCTTATAATTCTTTTTTACTTTCACCTCGACATCTCTGTCTTTCACCCAAATTAATTTGGTCGGTAGCTCGTGGGGATCTCTTTGGGAGCATACCTCCCATCGAGAATTTAAGCATTGCTGTATATTTAAAGCTTGAACTTGAGATCTCTTATAAAACATCGCTACATATTTGGCTCTTGAACTTGAAACCTCTGGTTATGAAGTTAGATTAACACCTAGCGAGTTGATCCAAACATCCGGTGTTTCTTATAATTCTGGTTTGGTATTAACATGCAGTGACTACTCAATCTGGGAGCCAGAAAAATTTTATGGTGTCAAATGTGCGGCCTATTGCGTGCATACCATATCAAAGGGATACAAACCCAGGTTGTGGAGATGAGTGTGTGA